CAAGGGGGACAGAGCCCACTAGGGCCTGGCTCTCCACTGCACCAGCCGGGAGGGGTTCTTGGTGTGCCCCACTGCCACTGTGCCCTCTTCCCCACTGGTCTGCCTTCGGTGACCCTCGGGCCTCCAGCAGAATGATACTGGCCATCCCCAGCAAGCCACCTGTGCCTGCCCCACTGCGGGGCTCGGCCGCTGCCTGAAGACCCACCCCTAAGGATGCCCTTTCCTCTAGGTAGTAGTACACTTGGTCCCTGGAGCCCTGCACCTTGTGCCTAGGCAGGCGGCCCTGTCAGAGGCTGCCCCTTGGATAGCCTGCGGCCTCACCACCACGATGACAGGGCACAGTCCTTGGGCCCGTTAGAAATCAGACCATTCCAAACACGGAGCCCAACACTACAGCAAACATGGCATCCCTCATGGGGCCTGGCTGGGGCAATGGGAGCAGTAGGACCCCCGCAACCCTATCCACCTAACCTCTGGGGCAATGGGACAGGGACCTCCCAGCCCACCCCTGACTGCTAGGTGATGGGAGCAGTGGGACTCCCCTCAGCCCTACCCCTGACTGCTGGGCCCTGGTTCCACAGGCACGCCAGCCCTGCCGGCCTCCTGCTGTCCGCCATCGTGGCCCTGGTCTATGTGATTGCGGTCTGCTATGAGGAGTGAGTGACTGCACGTGGGCAGGGGCAGGGTGGGCCATCCCTAGTGTGCTGGGTGGCTTGGGGCACAGATTGGAGCAGCAGGTGGGTGCTTTAGAGAGGGCATAGCTGGGGCCTCCAGCCCAGGGCATGGTTCTCGGTTTCCCTCATCCCTCCAAAAGGGCATGCAATTAGGTGCCATGATGCTGCCCACAGTCTGAGTGCCACGCTGCCCTGGACACTGCAGCCCTTGCCCACCCTCCTCTGTCATCTGGACCCTTGGGACCCCATCTGGCTCCAATGATCTGGGAAAGGAAGGGGATCCCAGTCCCCACTGCCCCCCAGCTCTGGTGTGAAGGATTGCCTGCTCGACCAGTGTGGACCAACTGATAGCCCCTCTGCTCACCCTGTCTCCTTGCAGGCCCTTCACAGCAGAGATCTACCGGCAGAAAGCCGCCAAGTCCCACAAGCAGAGTTGACCGGCCGGCTGGTGGGCCTGGGAGGAAGGCAGCAGTTGTGCTGGGGTCGAGCCCTCTGCCCGCCCTGCCCAGCCCACTCCGAGGGGCACAGCCTCCACTGCTCAGGCTCACACCTCATGGCTTCTCCAGTGCCTTGGAAACGGCTGTCGTGGGGGCTGGCTGTTACGCTTCCTCTGAGTCTCCACTGTCCCTGCACCCAGATTCCCCAATAAAGGCCTCTGTCTCAGCCTGGCCTCCAGTCTCTGTTCTCCCTGACGGACCCTCCTGGACCCTGGCCGTCCTGAGAGGTGGGGCTACAGCCATGACTGCACCTGCCCTTGCCCACCTGCTCCAGAGCGGCCAGGATCTCCCAGCCCTGCCTCCATGGGGGAGGGGCAGGGCGGTCGTGGTGCGAGTGAGTGGTATCCGAGCAGAGAGGAGGGTCCCCAGGACCTGGGGAGAGCACCTACTCCCCAAGAGTAGGCGACGTAGAGGAGCCCTTTTCTTACACTGCTCGTCACAGGTGACTCAGCACAGCACTAACAGCCCCTGCCCTGGCCCCTGCCTCCCGTCCCTCCTGCAGCCCCTGGGGACCCAGGACACGGACACACACACACACACACACACACTCACTCACTCCTGTTTGAGCAGCCATGCGCCTGGGATGAGCGAATCGCAGCAGAGGGTCCTGCAGAGAATGGAAGAAAGAGAGGCCACAGTTCTCAGTCCTCAGAGACCAGGCTGGCTGGTCAGAGGGTGGCAGAATTAACCACCTTAGATCGGCACGAGGTGGGCACGGAGAGAAAGGAGTAAATGAGGGTTTGCAGTAGACAGCTGAAGCTCAGTGTACATCGTTGACTGTAAGGCGGGTGACCTGCTCTGCAAATCTCCACCCGGTTCACAATAAAAACTTAAGTAGGAGAGTGCTTCAGACTGGTAGACCAGTGTCTCCTGTGGCCCTTGGTTCAGACAGCAACTGGAGGGACTCGCAGGCCGTGTTCAGGGGCAGCCCTTACACTGTCACCTCAGAGGCGACTTCACGGGGGACGTGGCTGGACTAGGGCTGGTTCTGCCGTTGGGGCAGCGAGGAAAGCTCAGAGGGGGCCTGGGCGCAGAAGCAGTGCTCCTCAGAGACCCAGGACTCCAGCCGCTCTGCATGTGGGTTTCCAGCGGAAGCCGAGGCTTGGGCGCTCTGGCTCACCACCCAGCCGGAAGCAGCCCATCGCAGCAGCAGAGGCGACGCACGGCCTGACAGCGTGGACGGTGCAACACAAGGTGCACTGCTCCCCAATGCCTGGTGACAGGTGCAGCCCCATGGGGTGCTGCTGCGGAGGGCCTGGCAGACAGGTGTGCTCCTACACTGACTCCCGGCCAGCCCTACGGGTCTGGTGTATGCACGCCACGGTAGCTATGTTAGACCGAGCCTGGTGAGCTGGTCCTGAACTCGGCCTTGGATCAGAATGGTCGTCATCTCTGCCTCCTTATCTTGAGAAGCGTGAAATGATCTCAGCCTCTTGGAGAGAGAGAGAGAGAGAGAGACACAGGCTGGCCAGGGCCTGGGAGACACTCTCGCTCTAGGTGCCGTCTCCTGATGACAGGTGATGGCAGGTGACATGGGCCAGAGAGCCTGGGCGTGTCCCAAGCGCATGGTTTGTGTGCCCTCCAGGTCCAAGACCCGTGACCCCTGCCCCTCTGAGGGTGAGGGGTCTCGGGAAGAGAAGGGACACCATCAGGGAGGGCTTCCCGGAGGAGGGGCGGGTTGAGTGCCTATGGCAGGGCTCACACCCCATGGGCCAGACACACAATTCTCCTGCCTCTGCAGACTTAATCCCCTCTGGACCATGTGGCCCTGCCCTGGTCCCCAGCCCTGCTGTAGAAAGCAAGGACATCGGATCGGCCTTCCCCAGCTCAGGTTGGACACGGGCTTGAGTCTGCCCTCCACCTCAGCAGCCTCTTGGAGCTCCTGCCTCCTCGTGGGGAATGGCCATCACAGGGCCCTGAAGGGCACGTCTTCTGATCATCTCCAATACTTCTATTCCTGCCTCTGCTTGCCCACCCACCCACACGCACGCACAGCGCAGGCCTGGGGACACCACTGTCTGTCACCTCACATCACACGCCTCGCCCCGCGGAAGCTGTTCAACCATCTCATTGTAGAAGGAAACCCACCGCCATCAAGTCCATGCCGGCTCACAGTGAGCCTACAGGCAGGGTAGCACTGCCCTTGTGAGTTTCCAAGACCACAACTCTTCCTTAACAGTTGTATTGGCACATAATTTACACATCATAATTCAATCATTCAATCCTATCGAGGAGAACTGTACACTCATGACCACATCAGCTTTAGAACATTCCCGCCTCCCGCTCATGGTTAAATCGCCTTTAAAATGAGTTTTGCGATCACAATCAGTTCTAGTGCTCCCTCCCTATCACACCCCCTCCTCTGCACCCTGTCAACTCACGCATCAGTTAGTATCACTATACATCTGTTCCTCCTGAGCTGCACAAACTGGGAAACCCAACCAAAACAAAAACAAAATTGAAATAAGGTGGTAAGGATAAAATAAGAATAATATAAAGACAAACATACAAATAATGAGTAAGGATCAGGGAAGAAATGTCTGCCCTGGAACAAGAGATACTTGCATCCATAACAAATTCCGGTCCGGTCTGTAGGGAGGTCAACTGGCCAATGATCAAGTTCAAGTGTGCGCAATCAAGATGACAAGGGACCCTGTGTCTGCATGGGAGTAGAAAGCCCATATTCTGAGGGGCACCTGGCGGTTTTGAACACCTGACCTTTCAGTTAGCAGCCCAGCTGGCAATCACTGTGCTACCAGGACTCCTAGCCCTTGCATTAAGGGTTAGTTAATTGGATGTTTGACCAAATGTAGCTGGCTAATTTTTTAAGTTGATGATTTTGACAGAATAAAGGTTCCCCTCCTCTGCTTTAGGGGTCTGGGCCCTCTGGTCCAGGGCTCCTGAGATGGCTCCCAGGCAAAGTTGAGAGCCTTGGGCTGACCAGTAAGGGTGTGCTATTCCCCGGGGGCAGAATGCGGAGCTGGCCCTGGTCACTGATGAGAAACAGCCGGACAATTGAGATCTCAGTTTAGTGATGGGCATGGGGGGCGGGGGCGGTGTTAGACAAAAGGTGGTCACTTAGCCCCTCTTCCTACAGGGGGAGGCTTGGAAGGAATGAGTCACTTCTGGACTGGGGACCCCCTATGCCGCTGAGCTGGCACATGGTCACACTGGTCGCTGGGAGTGTGCCGGCACCTCACAGGTACGGTCTGGACAGGGAGACCGCATGCACTCTCCTCCAGCCTGGTTGGCTCTCCAGAGCCTTCTGTGTGGCCCACATGGCCTGCTTTGGGGGCCAGCGGCCCCCCGCCCCTGTAGTATTAAATTAAATTTGGGGAGGTGAGTGGGGTGCCAGCCTCACCCACTGCTAGTACTACCCACGGGTCCAGTAAGCACAATTGCACGGTTGAGATATATAAGTATTACATTAAAGTCATCGAGAGCATGAGAGATATTATGACACGTTACATGGTAGCATTGCTCACCTCAACCCCGCTTGATGGTCCTTGTGGGGGGAACCCGGCTATGAAAACAGGAGCAGCCTCAGGACCGAGTACCGGGGAGCCTCTCCTGCCCTGAGAGCCAGAGAGAGCCCCGGGAATCGAGGAGAGCCTCCTGGGCTCCGGAGCGAGCGAGCTTCCTCTTTATTGCTAACCAATCATTATATAGCTCTTTAGGGGGACATGATTATAGAAACACGTCACAGGAAGGGGCAGTACAACAGGCGTACACATTGTAGGAAGGGGATCTATGATAGGCATAAGTGTAACAGGAAGGGGATGAGCTAGGGGTGTGCCCATAGGAGTGGGAAGGTCTAGGGGTATACATGTGACAAGATGGGCAGACCCTAGATTCATGATGGCAGTCTAGTCTTGGTCATCCTTAGGCGGGTTTGACCTCTGGTGTCTCCTACAAGGAAACAGACAACTACTATCCTTATCAGAAGGGAGTGGGCCCTACGTGGTGTGGGATAAACAGTGGTGTCTGCTTGACCTAGACAGCTGATACCTCTCAGGGAGAATGACCCCCAATCCACTCCTGATGACCTCCAAGCGTATAGTCATTCCCAAGCAGCTAAGTCTGGCATACATTTGGGGGAGACAGCTTGAGAGAAATCCTTCTGTTTCCCACCCCCCCACACACACACTACCCCCATAAACCTGTCAGGTGTGTTGAGTCCCCATTTGATCTGAGCAGGCCCTTGTGTGTGAGTAGCCTTTCAGCGGGCCAGCCCCCAGTAGGTAGTCAGTCATCACCTGGTAAGCTGGGGCCCAGGGCGATGGGCGTGATGCACCTCAGCCTCTGATCTGAGCAACAACATTCCGGTGCCACGGCTGGCAGGAAGCACGAGGTCTCCATGTGGGCAGGCGGGGGCCAGGCTCCTCCTCCCACAGAGTGGGGTCCGGACAGAGGCAGCATCGAGTCCAGCTGGGTTCTTTGTCAGCTCTGCGGGCTCTGAGCTGACGATCACTTCTTGCTGAGAGGCAGGGGCATTCTGCCTCAGGAAGCCGGGCAGGGCCCGGGACTGTCATCGAGGCAGCCCTCAGAGAATGACAATCGTCAGGTGGTGCGGGACAGGGGCTTCTACTGGCTGTCAGTGCCCAAGCACAGGCCCTAGAGGGCATCACGCTCACCAAGACACCATGCACAGGAGGGGTGCCCTGGGTGGGTGCAGTTGGGGTCCCTGCTTCGAGAATTCCTTCTCTCTGCAGTCCGGTCAACGCTGGCTCATCGTGACTCCCTGTACATTCCCCAGACTGTAACTGTTGACCGGAGTAGAAAGCCCAGGCTTTCTCCTGCGGTGCTGCTGGTGGTTTTGAACTGCTGACCACGTGGATCGTAGCCTGAAGCGTAACCACTGCACCAGCAGGGCCCCTGAATGCCTTTAGTCTGCTCCTTCTTAAACAAACAAAAAGACCCATGGTGACCTGGTGCACAATAGGACAAAATGCTGTCCAATTCCACTCCGTCTCTGATGTTTCTGGGCCACACCACTGTGATCCAAGGGTTTTCATTGGTTGACTTGGGCAGTCAATCACCAGGCCTTTCTTCCTGGTCTGGAAGTAGGTCTTTCATCTGAGTCTGTAACCCCTTTACCCTTCTCCTCCCTCAGTAAGGACGAACCTAAAGTAAGGTGACCAGATTTTAACATTGGTAAAGCGGGACACCACTGATAAAACTCATATCCTGGCGAAATAGCCACATGGCAGCCGAAAACCGTATACCCTAGCTTGTCGTGCATTCTTTCCAAAAATCGGGACTTTTTTAAAAGGCCGCGGGACACGGGACAAATTCTTAAAAAGCGGGACTGTCCCGGCAAAAGCGGACGTCTGGTCACCTTAATGAAGAGGTGGGTGGCCAAGGTGGCCAAGCACTGGAGCGCCACTCCGCATCCTTTCCGCCTGCAGTCTGCTGGGCCTTACAACATGGCTTCCTTGAGAACATTAGTCTTGGAAACCCTGCCTTCAGGGGGCAGGTGAACTGCTCCAAGACCCCTTCAAGGTTGGGGAGGCAAAGCTGGCTGGGGTCAAGACCTTACCAGTTGGTGGG